GAGTAACCATGTACACATAGAGTACCCATGTACACATAGAGTACCGATGTACACATAGAGTACCCATGTACACATACCCAATCTAAGTATGGTTATCATTTTTCATTCTCAATTTATAATTAACTTAACTCTTCTGTACAGCTTCAGAGAGTGGGTGCCACTATTTTGATATATTAATTAACTTAATTAACCTTAAACAGTCAACTTTCAGCTGTACTGTTGTAAACTATCACACTGGGCTACATCAGCAGAGAAGACTGAATACCTAGCTGCTGATTTGTATCGTGTTTGTTTGCCAGAGTAAAGTACATTTTATAAGTCCAACCTGTTTCTGACTGGCCGACCTTCCAGGAACCACTATCCCAGCGTGCAGTGGATAATCCTACAAACTGGACATCCAGTCCACCACTAGGGTCACTCCAGGTCATCAGTTGTACCCAGTCTGTATCTGTCTCCCTCATTACTGTCACAACACCTCCAGACCAGCTCACATTAAACCTCTTGTACACATTACAATCCAGCACTGGCCCGCCTTGCTCCACCTTATTGTCACCCTGCTTCAGCGTACGGATGACAGATTTAGAGTTTGACCAGCCACCAATAACAATCTCATACAGGTTTCCATCAGGGTCTGCATCCTCCTTCAGTCCAACATGGGCATTGTTACAGGCCTTCACCTCAAACAGAACTGACGTTGACTGGATGACGTAGCCGTATTCGGCGAGTAGTGTGTAAGTGTAGTCCGTCGACTTACTGCCGGAAGTCTGTATTGGCGTGTCAAATGCAATCACATTGTTTCCTGCAGAAAAAAAATTACATATTCAAACAACTGAAGTTTATGATTTTTATAGATTTACTGTGAATTACCAAAAACACATTACAGCTGAATCTGCAGTACAGACCATCCTAATTTGCAATTGTCTCTTTTCAGGTGCAACACGCACTTATCCAAACAAGAAATTACACTTTTAGTAACAGCAAGCTTGACTTTAACGTATAATACCCGAAACAAAAGGTGTCTTTCTGTTCCCTTGGGCAACCAATATACCAAGTTTGAAATTTGTGCAATAATATGTTCTAAAGTTAGCTGAACAAGAAAGTTGAATAGCCAGACAGGGTCAAATATAGCATGATTGCTATATCCCACAAACTTTTTCAGGAGAATAAAAATGGTGCACGCATAACGCATCAAATCAAGGCATCAAGGGAATGGAAAAATGTAACTATGTCTATGACAAATTAATGCTTGAACATTTTTATCTAATATTAGACCGTAATATAAACCCTGGGCCTTCCATTGGGAAATAAGGAACTGGTCAAAAGGATGCTACGAGACAACAAATTGAACTGGACTTGATTGTGAATTGGTGACTTTGACTAAACTAGAAAATGTCTGTGAGACATAAATTCCCCCGCTGCCATGTGCAATTAGTTTCAGTGCTCTATAAAAAGTTACAACCACCGTGCACTTTGATATTGATACCCTGAAACATGCACACACAAGGTACTACACTTACAGTTGATAAGTTGATTTTAATATTCATATGTTTTTTCTGTATGTTATTACCATCTCCATAACATATTGAATGAAGTTGCTAAGCGTTTAAATTGAAACAGTTGATGATTTTCTATATATAGGAAGTGTGACCTTGGCCTTGACCTTGGATCCCTGAAACAAAACGATGTCTGAAGTATAATCATTCTTGACCCTTGTATAAAGTTTGACCAAAATCTGTCTAAGAATGAAGTTGCTAAGTGTTTACATTAAATCGGGACGCGACGGGACTGGACAGACATGGGCAACACTATATGCCCCCCCATTTTATTGTGGGTTGTGCCTTTGTATAAAGTTTGACCAAAATCTGCCAAAGAATGAAGTTGCTACGTGTTTACATTGAATCGGGACGGGATGCGACGGGACGGGTGTTTACATTGAATCAGGATGGGACGGACATGGGCAACACTATATATGGCGAGGGCATAAAAATAACCCATGGCGCATCCCTGGTTGATATGCCTTAACATTTGAATTATAAAATAGTATCCACAATACTGTACCAAAGTTATATTCCGAGCAAGAAAATATTGATTGACATTTGATCTTAAAGTGAGGTTTCTGAAAAAGTAAATCTGATCGTACTTTCCCAAAGAGGGCTTATATGAGTACAAATTTCATTGAAATAGTCTTAATGGCAAAACTGTTAGGCTCCAAACAAGTTCGGTATATCCTAACAAAAGCATGACATTGACCTTACCAACAGCTAGAACACAGGTGTGACCACATCCATTAAAGCAGCATTTTTCATTTCGTTGACACTCTCCATCATAGAAGCATTCCTCTGCACATGTTCCCCCCTCCACTACCGGACAGGTACCAGAGTGTATAAACTGTTTACCTGTAAATACAAACAACACAGTCCTCAGCAACGATATGTTTATATTAACGCTGACTTTCATCTGCTGATTACTTACTGTTTGCCTTACAGCTGTTGACCAGTACTGCTGATTACTTACTGTTTGCCTTACAGCTGTTGACCAGTACTGCTGATTACTTACTGTTTGTTATACAGCTGTTGACCAGTACTGCTGATTACTTACTGCTTGTTATACAGCTGTTGACCAGTACTGCTGATTACTTACTGCTTGTTATACAGCTGTTGACCAGTACTGCTGATTACTTACTGCTTGTTATACAGCTGTTGACCAGTACTGCTGATTACTTACTGCTTGTTATACAGCTGTTGACCAGTACTGCTGATTACTTACTGCTTGTTATACAGCTGTTGACCAGTACTGCTGATTACTTACTGCTTGTTATACAGCTGTTGACCAGTACTGCTGATTACTTACTGCTTGTTATACAGCTGTTGACCAGTACTGCTGATTACTTACTGCTTGTTATACAGCTGTTGACCAGTACTGCTGATTACTTACTGCTTGTTATACAGCTGTTGACCAGTACTGCTGATTACTTACTGCTTGTTATACAGCTGTTGACCAGTACTGCTGATTACTTACTGCTTGTTATACAGCTGTTGACCAGTACTGCTGATTACTTACTGCTTGTTATACAGCTGTTGACCAGTACTGCTGATTACTTACTGCTTGTTATACAGCTGTTGACCAGTACTGCTGATTACTTACTGCTTGTTATACAGCTGTTGACCAGTACTGCTGATTACTTACTGCTTGTTATACAGCTGTTGACCAGTACTGCTGATTACTTACTGCTTGTTATACAGCTGTTGACCAGTACTGCTGATTACTTACTGCTTGTTATACAGCTGTTGACCAGTACTGCTGATTACTTACTGCTTGTTATACAGCTGTTGACCAGTACTGCTGATTACTTACTGCTTGTTATACAGCTGTTGACCAGTACTGCTGATTACTTACTGCTTGTTATACAGCTGTTGACCAGTACTGCTGATTACTTACTGCTTGTTATACAGCTGTTGACCAGTACTGCTGATTACTTACTGCTTGTTATACAGCTGTTGACCAGTACTGCTGATTACTTACTGCTTGTTATACAGCTGTTGACCAGTACTGCTGATTACTTACTGCTTGTTATACAGCTGTTGACCAGTACTGCTGATTACTTACTGCTTGTTATACAGCTGTTGACCAGTACTGCTGATTACTTACTGCTTGTTATACAGCTGTTGACCAGTACTGCTGATTACTTACTGCTTGTTATACAGCTGTTGACCAGTACTGCTGATTACTTACTGCTTGTTATACAGCTGTTGACCAGTACTGCTGATTACTTACTGCTTGTTATACAGCTGTTGACCAGTACTGCTGATTACTTACTGCTTGTTATACAGCTGTTGACCAGTACTGCTGATTACTTACTGCTTGTTATACAGCTGTTGACCAGTACTGCTGATTACTTACTGCTTGTTATACAGCTGTTGACCAGTACTGCTGATTACTTACTGCTTGTTATACAGCTGTTGACCAGTACTGCTGATTACTTACTGCTTGTTATACAGCTGTTGACCAGTACTGCTGATTACTTACTGCTTGTTATACAGCTGTTGACCAGTACTGCTGATTACTTACTGCTTGTTATACAGCTGTTGACCAGTACTGCTGATTACTTACTGCTTGTTATACAGCTGTTGACCAGTACTGCTGATTACTTACTGCTTGTTATACAGCTGTTGACCAGTACTGCTGATTACTTACTGCTTGTTATACAGCTGTTGACCAGTACTGCTGATTACTTACTGCTTGTTATACAGCTGTTGACCAGTACTGCTGATTACTTACTGCTTGTTATACAGCTGTTGACCAGTACTGCTGATTACTTACTGCTTGTTATACAGCTGTTGACCAGTACTGCTGATTACTTACTGCTTGTTATACAGCTGTTGACCAGTACTGCTGATTACTTACTGCTTGTTATACAGCTGTTGACCAGTACTGCTGATTACTTACTGCTTGTTATACAGCTGTTGACCAGTACTGCTGATTACTTACTGCTTGTTATACAGCTGTTGACCAGTACTGCTGATTACTTACTGCTTGTTATACAGCTGTTGACCAGTACTGCTGATTACTTACTGCTTGTTATACAGCTGTTGACCAGTACTGCTGATTACTTACTGCTTGTTATACAGCTGTTGACCAGTACTGCTGATTACTTACTGTTTGTTATACAGCTGTTGACCAGCACTGATGATTACTTACTGTTTGCCTTACAGCTGTTGACCAGTACTGCTGATTACTTACTGCTTGTTATACAGCTATTGACGAGTACTGCTGATTACTTTCTGTTTGTTATCCAGCTGTTGACCAGCACTGCTGATTACTTACTGCTTGTTATACAGCTATTGACCAGTACTGCTGATTAGTTACTGTTTGTTATACAGCTGTTGGCCAGTACTGCTGATTACTTACTGCTTGCCTTACAGCTGTTGACCATTCCTGTATACATTGGTCGGTATTTCTCTAAAGCTTGATTCAACACAACAATGTTCATCTCTTTAGACTTCTCCTCCAAACACTGAATGAAATCTGAAAGTGTGTCACAGGTCTGTGTACTAGGCGAGTTACTGTTCATAAACTCCGTCGTGTTCTGGTTCAAAGACTGAATACAAGAGCTGATGAGATTTTTCACTACTGGGTCACTACCCTGTAGATCTTCATCACATGACTTTAGGCGGTTACTAACAGAACCAATCAGATAAATCCTGACTACCAGGTCCTGAAGGCTGGAACAGCCTGCCATATTTGTGCTGATACAGGCTCTTACATCTCCCAAGTTGCTGTAAGAAAATGGAAACATGAACCAACCACTGAGGCGTTATGATGTATTGTTTCAGCCAGCAATATACAAAATAAACACTGATGATCGTGTCCTTTTATTCATGTTCTGTTTCAGCCATCAGTTTATGAACCAAACATTGAGGAATCTAGTCTTGATGGGCAAAAACACCCCAACCACATACTTTATGTGTCCAGTCAAGACTCATTTGTGTCTATCGGATCATTTCCAAAGAGGATTCATCAAATATCCAATCCTTGAACTGAGAGTCTTACTAATACCCTATATCACACAATCCAGCGATGGTTCATAAGAAATTTAATTAACATATATGTGTGACAAAATGTTATACTAATCTTACAAAATAAACCTTCCAGTTGAAGTTCGACCTTCATTAGTAAACTTTACCTGAGGTGATATTTCTGAATTCACCTTATGACACTTACACTGACTTGATTCATTTTTGTATGGAATAATATTAAAATATTTTTATTATTAAACTCATAATTTGTAGGACAGGAACATTTTGAAGGACGGATGAACAATGACATACTATTATACGACAAACGTTAAAACACATGCCAAAGAGTTAGGAACGTTAAGATGATCCTGTTTACATTCTTACCTGCATCCAGTTGAACTTTCAGTAAGGTTGTCCACGCAGCTCAACGCATTGGCTACTGAGCAAACACCAGAGGGAGTGAAGGATGGACATATCCCACTAAAGGTTGTCATGACGACTGCCAAGCTGTCAGTCACAGATTGGAAAGCTGTAGCTGAACAGTCCTGTTGATAACCCTGTACACACTCGTGTAGTAACTCCAGCTCCCTGTAATATTTCATCAATCTACCTTAAGTCAGCCAAAAACAATAAATTATCTTAGTCTTTGTAACAAATATCACCTAAAAAAACTTCTGGTGTCAAATAAAGGTCCTGCTTCCTCTACCAAAACAAGGAATTAAATGTATCTTACCAGAGATACCACCCTACCAAAACTGGAAACTAAATGCATTTTACCAGAGATACCACCCTACCAAAACCGAGAACTTAATGTATCTTACCAGAGATACCACCCTACCAAAACTGGG